CCATATATGTAATACTACTATATTGCGCCATTCGAGTTGTTGTTGAAGCCGGGTTATGAGATGAAATTATATATTTCGTTCTCTTTCATGGACAAACACTCGTTTGCGCATGCCCAAGTATTATGTCCAATCTAATCCAAGAATTTGAATTTGGCGCTAAGGGGAAGAAGGAGAGAAAAATAGACAAAAGAAAAGACTGACTTTTGCGTTTGTGGTTATGTTGTTCGGATTGTAGCTTTGTCGCAGATTCTTTGTTAGCATTTATATCTTTTAATCTTTTGTAGTTTATGTGTGTTTTGTAGTGTTGGCGATTTCAGAATTGTTTTTAGTGCAATTTATAGTTTTAGTTTTATTTATAGATTAGAGACATTTAGTGCAACTGAAAGTGCAGGTATAAGAACATTTTGTAAATTTAAGTAGGTAGGTATAAGAGAATTATATTATATGTATTATAATTCAATCGTATTATTTTAATTTTATAGGTAGCTCAAAATGCCGAAACGAAAAACTCCATCAAGGTTTTGTCTTCTATGTGAAGGAAATGTTCCATGTGAAATCGTATACCATAAGTGTGTATTTTTTAAAATATCTATATTCAAAGCTTTGCTACATCCTGTCATTAGATTAATTCAAAATTTAACTTGTTTCAGGTTTCCTTCTAACCCACAAATAAGAGAGTCATGGATGAATGCATGTCATACATATTTATGTTCCCAACATTTCAAACCCGATGATTATATTGATATAAATGCCAAAAAATTGGGAGGATGTCTTCGACTCAAACCTGGTATAATTCCTTCAGTATTATTGCCCAGTAAACCTGATGACCATAAAAGGGGATGCATACATTTATCTTCAAGCCTACAAGAAGCAACATCTGCGCATTGCACTGTCCCATGTTTTGAAACAACAGTAGACGTTCCATTATTAGCTTGCAGACCTACTACACCAGCAACAACTTACGGTTGGTATTGGTGGTTTATATGGCAGACGAGTTTTTTAACTTCAAGTCACTTATATAATATTAATATATATTAAGTAGGGAATAACTTTAATTATTGAACATACGTACATAATCGTAGTGTATCACTGTCAACATTTACAAATTGGACAATATTACATTTATCCAACA